CTTTTGTACTTGCAAGCAAAAATAAAATTATTCAAAGTTCAAAATAAGCAGCCAAATGAGGCTAATTAATCAACCATCCCTCCCACATTACACAGATCTTTACATTCAAACCATAAATTTGGAGTTTGGAGTCAAAAGGGCAACAAAACTGAGCAAAATTTTTGAAAGGACAACAAAAATTAAGGTTGAAACTAAAAGGGCAACATTTAGATGGGAGGGTGACACCATGAATTTTTGTGGAAGACGGCGCAATTCCCATGTGCCTTACAAGGTGCAAGGCCACACAGTACTTGTACTATAAGTTGCAGGTTTGTTTGCGCCTTGTAAGGCACATGGAAGCCTGGGTCTTCCTCCACAAAAATTCACGGCGTCACCCTTCCGTCTAACTGTTGTTCTTTTGGTTTCAACCTTTTTTTTTTTTGCCCTTTTGGAATTTTTACTCCATTTTGTTGCCTTTTTGGCTCCGGAGTCTAAACCGTCATTTCATCAATTTTCATGGCGAAACTTAGTTTACTTTAGCAGTCATGAAATTCTGAGCAAAGTTAGAATGTCAGTTACGAGTTCGATTGACAAAATTTAATAGCTTTGATTCTTATCTTATTTTGGCTTAAAAGTATGTTGCAAAATATTAATTTATAACGCAAAAAAATAATATTCAAAATTCATAAATTTTAAATTTCGTATAAGAAAACAAAAAGCGGGAAGAGCTAGATTCTCAATAATAGCAAATTAACTAATTAGTTAATGATAGTTAGCTCATGGATTGACTTACAGCAACAATAATTATCTTTAGTAGTTTCCTTTCATGTCGACCTTTCACAATCACATTGATGTCTTGGAGGCTACTATATATATACATGAACTACTTAATTAAGTATATTTTAGCTTTTTTCAAATCCATTAAAAAATAATTATAAATATAAGATATCATTTGCTTAGTTACTTACCTCTATTTATTTATTAGATATTTTTAAAAATTGAGCACTATCAAAAAAATAATCGTCCATTTTTGTCTTAAATCTTAAAACAATATTTATTTTATTAATTAAAACAACACTTACTTTAAAAGGCGAAATATACTATTGATTATTTAAAGAAAAAAAACAATCGACATTGATGACAAAATTGACCAAAGAGACAACGTGTTTGAGAGTATATGAGGGTCCAATTGAAAAAGATATATAATATAATTTTATTACTATATAATATGTAGGGTTCAAGGAAAACTTCTAGTTTATTTCACATTCTTATCCACATAATTAATATATATATATATATATAGTGGATAAGATTTGCAAAAGAAAGAAAAGGAAAGTAATAAGTTAGAGTAAAAAACAATTTTAATTTCCTCAATTAGCAATTTCCTATTTTCCTTTAAATGAAAAGAAAAGATTCTTTAGTCTTGCTTCTAATCACTCCAACTGATTCTTAAATTAAATTATAAAGTTAACATATTTTTCTTTTGAAAAAGAATACATTTATATCATATCATAATTTATAATTTTATGAACTATTATAAATATTAGATTACAATCTACTATTTGTTCGTAAGATTGAGCAATATGTGAATAAATATTATATTTGTGTCTACCATTGTGTTGAAGAATAATTTTCCAAAAGTTATATTTACACAACTTTTAAAATAGGGATAGATTTTAATGTTGGTCTAAAATAACACTTAGCATAAGCAAATCGAATTCAATAGCTTTGTACCGATTATTTTTGAATTAATTTATCATATCTAAAAGGTGGAAAATAATAACTCTAGTTTGATGGGATTATATGATGAAATATTATAGAACTACGTTTGAGATTAAATATATATTTTATTTAGTTAAATATATTTAAAAGAATTACGAGATAAATTTAAGTCTTCAACCAAATAAAGTGTAGATTTATTTTAAAACTTAATCCTAAAATATCTCATCTTATTTCATGAATCAAATGGCAATACTTTAATTTATTAATTACCTTATTTAATATATATTAAACTCATGGATCAATATTTGATTTGCACAACCAAATTTATGAATTTTTTTTCTGAAATACTTTGCAGATAGTTTGACATTATTATTGACATAGATTAATTCAAGATTTTTTCAGTGGACTATTTCTTTTTTTCTTCTTTTTGTCAAGGAAAACTTTCCAAATAAAAAATGACTTTAATTATTAATTAAATAGTTTGGTGAAGCCTTGTCCATACTATTCAGGACACAACCCATTTACACGCATATGTTACTGGTGACTCAGCACTAATACAAACAAATCTATTTTTCTCTTAACATTATAGTTTATTTTAATTATATATCGTCAATATAAAGAATTTTTTTATTTTATTTTATCTCCAAATCACTTTTATTTATTAAAGCAAATTGTAACATGTTTCATTTTTAAGGATTTCATAATTTTACATTTTAAAAAAATATATTTATAAATATCTTTTGAATAATGCGATTTAGACTCAATCCCAACAGTCGCCTTACATGAATTGGCTTAATAGCCGACATGTTAAAAGACTTTCATGGTTTAAATGTAACCTCACGTTTTTATTTGACCATCAAATTAGTTTTTCTAATATATATTTTTTTTTTGTTGTTTTATGACCAACTTTTTCAAAGTGATTAGTACTATTTTATTTGTCTTAATTTATGTGATTTAATTTAATTTAAAATAAAATTTAATTTTTTTTACAATGATTGGTATTATCTTTATACTTTCTCTATTTCATGAATTATTGAAGTATAACTCACTCTTTAAAAAATATTTAAGAATATAAATTAGAAATTATTTTTTATTAATTATACTTTTGATTATTTCTAACAAATTTTTTGTTTTTGAAAATTTTGCCGTCGAATTAAATTAAATTAAAATGAATGGAATAGCATCAATATTTCTAAAAAGTTAGTCATAAGACGTCAAAAAATAATAATAATTGTTTTTATGGTCAAATGAAAACATGGGGTGGCCCAGTGGTTTGGGCTTGGGACTTCCATGTTGGAGGTCTCAAATTCGTAACCCCTTGCCAGCGAATGCAAGGGTTTGCCTTCTGGATCGAGCTCGTCGCACTGGGCTTGTCTAGTGCGGGTTACCTCTCCTATGTGGTTTGTGAGCTATTGCATAGGAGCAGGGTTTTACCCTATGCGCACCCAAAGGATAGTGACTGCGGATTTTCCTTGTAATAAAATAAAAACATGGGGTTATACTTTCACCATGGAAGTCTTTAATATGTCGGATATTAAGCAATTTACGTAAGGCAAAGTATATATTTGTGAATTTTTTTTATATCAAATTTTTATAAATTATTATTACATAATATTTAAGTGTGATTTTTAAAATGGAACAATTTTATATAATAAATGACATTTCTGTTATAAGTAGAATGTTGTTGTAGAAATATAACATAAAAATTTGATTATGAAGAAAATCAAATTGTTATAGTAAAATATTGTCATAATAAATAACCCTTATAAAATTTGATTGTATCAACTATCATGAATTCAAACATTTATTTTATTTTATTTTAATTTTACTTAAAATTAGGAATCACAAGGGGTGATAAGGTTACCGGCTTACCGCTAAGTAGACATTGCATCTATTTTGAAAATAGAAAGAACAAAAAATGAAATGAATTAAGACATGTACTATGACTATTTTTAAAAATCATCGATGAATAATTTGAGACAGAATAATAAAAGAAGCATTTACGACAAGAAAAAAATATTTAAAATTTAGTCAACTCACCCACTACCATTAATTTACACCTAATAAATTGTAAGGCAAATGGTACAAGACTAGAACTTCTTGACTTTGCCATGGGGCTACTTTTGCAATGAGAAAAGACACTTTTTTTCTTTTCTAAAAATAAAAAATTGATTGCCTTTGCTGCTAAATTTAATAATAAGGATTTTCAAAATTGTTAGGCCCTTCAATTCAGGTAAAAACATTCACATTTACTCTCTTCACTTCAAATTTAAATGTGACATTGCTTGACTTTTTCAATGGTCCATTTCAACTATGAGAAGGGTCATTTTTCAAGATTGGCACGGGGTTGAAAGAATCATTCAACAGTATGTCTTTACCCAATAGTATTAAATTTAAAGAATATGTTGCTCGTATTTATCAGAAACAATCAATCTATCTTCATAAGGTAGAAAAAATATGTTTGTGTATGCACCATCCTTCTCAGGCCTCACTTTTGCGAGATCACATCAGGTATATATGCTGCTCGTACAAGAGTGAACTCATCCAGGGAAAATTTTAGAAACAAAGATCAAACATGTTTTTTTTAAACTTTAATCCAGAATTCTTAAGCTAATTGTCAAACAGCTAGACATTAAGGGTGTGTTTGGTATGAAGGAAAACATTTAAAAACATTTTCCTTCATACCAAACACACCCTAAATATTTTGTAATGTTCTACTATGTCATAAATAGTGGTCCTCCCTAGAAGCTATGTGTGATGCTTTGTCAAACATAACATGTAAGTAGTTTTGTACTCTCAGGGCTCGTTTGGTGTGAGGGATAATACTAAATAGTCTCGGGATTAAATTATAGTACCGCTTATTTTGTTGTTTGGTTGGCAAGTTCGGGATAACTTATCCCGGGATTAATAATTAGTACCGGGATAAGTTATCCCTCTCCTTGGGTGGTATAGTAATCCCGGGATAAAATAGGTAAATGACAAAAATGTCTCTTTCAACCCTTTTGTTATATCACTTTTTACATTAATGAAGGACATTTTTGTAAACAAATAAATTGTTCTTAAAATTTATTATTTTGAATACAACAAACCAAACACTCAATAAAAAATAATCCCAACACAACTAATCCCAACATAACTTATCCCATCATAACTCATTTTCAAACCAAACGACCCCTCAAAGTCAAAGGTGTTAATTAAAGAGACTATAGCTAGCAAATATTAAAGATGCTCTATGTAAATGAGATTGATGCATAACACATGAATTTTCTGTGTCATCTACTTTTAAAAAAAAATATGCAAACGAACTTTTAACTTTTGATGTCAAGCAATTCATATATAGTGCATAAAATTCGAGAGCTATATAGGTAGTTTCGTTACAGCTTTTTTCCCACATCATTTAGGTTCTGGACTCATCATCTTAAGATCTTCCATTGTTGTATCGTTTACTGAACACCGGGTTTCAAGTCTAAACAAGGATATAATATAGCAAAAATCCTCATTGTTGAAATGGGGACTATTATATTTAAAGGACCTTCCATTGCTATAACCATTCACAGCAACACTGGAAGCACATTTTCTAGTCTCTTTCACACACTCAAGCAAACAGTGTCTGTCGTCAAAGTTACTATCCATGACTAACCTGTTTTTCTTGCATCGTCAGGTGATCTAGGTCATCGGCTAATGTGGGCACCACATGATCCAACGAAGTTGACCATCGAGACCATATGAAAACCATGCAAGACATGTACCTTAGCAGAATCACCATGTACAGGCACTAAACCACATTAAAGAAAGATGAATAATGTTTTGTTCCATCTATTTATATTGCAATGATAAGCTCCATATTCATCTGAATCTGAATCAGAAGGTCGGCTTTCTCCGTCGTTTAACGCAACGTTAGAATTTGTTCATGCTGCTTCTATCACTCAAAGAAAAAGAGAATTTTCCAACACAATGTTCCTATTCTAAACATTCCTAAACCGGTGCCTCTTCAGAAACCCACACTTTGATAACCATGTGCTCTATAACATGTTTAGAACAAGCATCATTGGGGAGAAGATTATTTCAAATGATATGATAAACTTTCTCGTATTGATTAGGCAAATGTCTGATGAAAAGGTCTTAGAATTTTACTCTTCATTTAGATGGTCAAAGAGTCCGTTCCAATAAGCCGCGGCTTCTTCAGGGGTTCGTGTTGACCACAGCTGAGGCTTCTCTTTCTCACGTGCTTCTAAAATTTCCTGCTTCACATGATCTAATGGTGAGTATGAAAAACAAAATCAACAAAATAATACAGAAAGCAGAAGTGACTTCACGAGCATATATAGGGAAGAAAACCGTTAGTGTGAGTATTTGTTACACTATCAGATCATCTTTACTTGTTGTAGCAGGTAATATATCTCATTATTAAAATTTCAAGTCCCACATGCTTACCTATAAATATCCATTGGATGACCTAATGGTGTAAAAAATTGCATGCACTGACTGTATAAAACTTAAAACTAACAAAATTACCACATGATAAATTTCGTATTTATTGATTAAGAAAAAAGCCTCTGCATCTATAATAACATCTCCAGAGAAGCGTCCATCCAAAAAGAGAAATTGCTAGCTCAGCAACCTCATTTGAAGCAAATACCATAGCATAACTGCCTTAGTCAGCAACTCAAAAATGTGGTTGACAAATGAAATCGCAATTAATTTATCAGTCATACTCAAAAATTTGGATGGGTTGAGGCACAACAATTGTAGGTGAGGGGTGACTAGGTGAGGCATTACCTCTGGTTTGGCAAAATTAAATGAACCTTCTCCTAGTTTGTGAAATACCTAAAATGTACCCTCTAGTTTAATCTCATTAAAAGACCTCCTTTACTGTCAATCCCCAGAATTTGAGCATTTAAATGGAACTATCAACAAATTAAAACTGTTTTCGACAACATCAAAAGCAAAAAAGGAAAGCTGCACATCAGCAAAACTTGCATCCAAGACCTCCCCCAGTTGAGAAGTTTCGTGTTAGTATACCTCCTCCTTCTGATATTATAGCAACAATTATTCTAATCAAAGAGTTGATAATTTGGAGAGACTCAGATTCAATTGCTAGAATGTCTAAACAATAAAATTATATTCCTCATCCTCACAAATCTATGACTTTAAGTAATCTTACAAGCAACACAGGGTTTATTAACTTGTAAAATATATTTTTATTCGCATATTTGAATGACTCGGGCGAAAAAAGAACATCATGAACAGTCCAGACTATGATGCAAGAGAACACTGTACCTCCACTTCAGAAGACCTTTTGGTTTTCAAAGTCAGACAATCAACAAGACCACTCCATTTCTTACTACAATTATCAAGGGCATCAAGTCTATAGTATTGCTGCATCTGATGGACTGGAGCTGCCACAACATAATTACACATCAGCCTAAACTAATTCTCACAGAAGAAAGTGCATGTAAGAACAGAAGACAAACAGATCTCATATAAGTCCCACTGATATCAACTTTGGACTTGTTCATAAATTCATAGAGACATTGCAACCAAAACTTATTTATTAGCAACAGCAACATAACAGAATGTATGGTGATGAGCCTTCTTTTTCAGTTTAGAATTGTGTTTCTTTCTCAGCATGTAAATGAATCATTTTGTTATTGAAAACGTCTAAATGCATGTCTCTCAAATAAATCATCAGCTTCCATGAATTTCAATCCTAAACAAGGACGGAAAAAGAACAAATAGAAAAGAAGTCGTTAGGAGTGAAAATAGTAGCAAACTATGTAATAAGTGTCATCAGAAATCAAGAGAAAGACTCACATCACTTAAGATACAGCAAGTTACTAGTACAGTATAACCCTATTGTGTTTAATAGTTCCCCTCAGTTGTAGCGGATTAACTAAGATTACTAAAGGCAAGGATCAGTGCAACACTTGTCTTTTGAAGACCCCGGCTTAGCTAAACAGCAGTCTAGATCCTTGAAGAATCTATGCTTGCAAAGCTCTCGTCTGACAACCCCAAGCAGTCTCACATTTGTTAGTATCAAGACTACTAACATATTTTCATAAGCAATTCACTAGCCTCCTGGGTCTACCATTTGTTTAATCAATTATGAAATTGTTGTTTAAGGCAATCATTACAAACAGTAATTTCCCAACTATTCATCGCAAGGTGTCAAAAAATGGGATTCAAGAATGTTTTCAACTGAAAGGATTATCAAGTGAAATTCTGCTATTGTTTGGTCATCTGTCCATCCTCTCTTTCTCCTTCCATCGTCAAATATATAAATGGATTACATAGTGTATTAGCTATTGACTTCAAGTTTATTACAAGTGAGTTTTTTGTTGGAAAGCCTTTGATTCAGGTTCGTTTTCCCATTTTTCTAACAAAAGTAACAGCATGTTTGGATTGGCTTAAAAGTTGGTCACTACTTTTAAGTCATTTTTAGCTTTTTGGAGTGTTTGGCAAAGTTAAAAATAACTTGAAATAAGCTTAAAATGATTTTTAAAAAGTTAAAAGTTAAAAGTAGGTACTCCCCTACTTTTCACTTTTTAACTTTAAAAGTTACTAAAGTTCGACTTCTTAAAAACTACTTTTTTTAAGTTAAGCCAAGCGGGCTCTAAGTGGGTTACTTTGAATCACAACTCCAACCAATCAGTTCGGGGTTTCATTGGATAAAAAAGTTGGATATTTCTTGTTCTGACATGGCACAAGATCAGGTTGATTGTTGCACTCTAAAGGTTCCAAAGTAGAAAACCTACTTGTTGCACAATAAATTCATAGGTTCTAAAGTGAAACCCCATTCAATCTGCAAAAGAAATGATTGTGATGCAATATCTAGAATCTGCCTTAATCTACCAGCCAGAAAGTACTTCCTAGTTGAAATGATATGACCTTCACCTTTCTTTTCTTTATCCCTAATCAAAAAAACAAAACAAAAAAAACTAATGTCAGTTGTAGCACTAGATTTAATAGCCTTTGGCTCATTGCAACCTGTAGCCTATTGCTTTCATAAGTTTGGCATGCACACAGACACACCTCAAGACCCTTATTACTACATCTGAAAGGCTGGTCCAAGTGCTATCCTGTGCCATAGACTTCAGCTTGGCTGAATAGAAAATAAATTCCGTTATTGAGCTGGGATAGGGCACCAGTTCCATTCCACCAACAAAAAGGGAGATCCTCCTTCAAACTCATAATTTAGAAAGAGTCTCGTTTAACCTTCTATGTTTTTTATTTTTGAAACTGGTAATGTTGTATTCCTCAGCATTAAGGATGATGCTGGAGACCTTCAAAAGGGGAACAAAACAAACAAAAAACGAGAGAAAGGGAGAAACTACTTACAGGGAGCCTAACAGATCTACAAGCTCTAATTCCTCCATATTTCTTTGTTTACACCAAAAGAATAAAGATACGATACAATTCCATTTAACTCTATGAATGGAATTGGACTTATCTTCAAAACGTCTGCTATTTCTCTCTCTCCACACAGTCCACCAGATGCAATGTGGAATGATTTTCCACCATTTCTGGCTCTTGCTTCCACCTCATCTAATCCAGCAGCTGAGTAGATCTGCAGTGTGCTCAGGCATGGTTCACTTTGTGTCTGTGGGAGTAAAAAATAAATTCCACAACTGAGCAGTGAATTTACAGCGCAAGAAAAGATGACTATTTGTCTCATCAATTTCCCCAAAAAATTGACATGTAGATACTACAATTCTCCTTTTTTTTCTTCAAAACCTCTTGTGTCAAGCAAGCTTTTCTGACAACCAACCATGTGAAACATTTTATTTTTGTTGGTGCGATGTTTTTCCAGACATTTTCCCATAAACCTTGTTGTTTTCTGTTTTGTTGTGTATTAACTGTTTCATAGACCCTTTTAACAGTGAAATTTCCATCCTTTTTGTGCTTCCATCTCATAGAATCTGGGGCTGAAGTGGTTCCCGTGAAGTCCCCTATTTCATGGAGTAGGTTGGCCACTTTGTCCACTTCCCAGTCATTCAAGAATCTCCTAAAAGATAGATCCCATCCCTGTTCAGTCCAACACTCTTTGACAGTTGCTTCAGGTTGTTATAAATGGTGAACAGGTCCGAAAAAATATCTTTCAGAAGGCTCTGGTTGTTCCATGCATCTTCCCAAAACTTTGTTTTTCTCCCATCTCCCACTTTAATTGTTGTGTTCTCTTTTATCATTGGCCAAAGATCTCTGACTGTTCTCCATACCCCAACCCCATAAGGTAAAGAGCTTTCATTACTGCACCAAGGGTTGTTCTCACCATATTTGCACTTAATTACATCCTTCCATTAAGCCTGTTTTCCATCATTATATCTCCAGAGTCATTTCATCAAAAGGCTATCATTTTGTTTCTTTAGGTTTCAGATACCCAAACCTCCCAAGTACCTATTGTTCAGTGTAGTATCCCATTTCACCAGGTTGTATCCATTGTTCTCCTTACAACCATGCCAAAGGAAATTCCTTCTAAGTTTGTCCAGTTTCTTCAAAACCTTCTTGGGAAGGGGGAACAAGGACATTACATAAGTAGGTAGAGAATCAAGGACTGATTTTATGAGAGTGAGCCTTCCTCCTAGTGATAAGTATTGAGTCTTCCACCGTGACAATATTTTTTCAGCCTTCTCTATTATGCCATCCCATATAGTTATCTCTTCATGCTGGTAACCAAGAGGCATGCCCAAGTAAACTGTAGGCAGATGTTCCACTTTGCATCCTAGTATATCTGCCAAGCTCTGGATGTTTAGCACCTCCTTAATTGGAAAAAGATTACTCTTTCGCCAATTTACTTTCAGGCCAGAAGTGGATTCAAAGAACAGAAGTAACAATCTAATGTGGCTTATCTGTTCTTCAGTAGGTTCACAAAAAATCACTGTATCATCTGCAAAAAGTAGATGACATATTTCCTTGTATTGACCTCTAACACCTCCTATTTGAAAGCCGTTGAATCTTTTGTGTTGAATTGCTCTCCTCATCATACTATCAAATCCTTCCATTGCCAGCACAAAAAGAAATGGGGATAGAGGATCTCCTTGTCTAAGACCCCTACCGGATGGGAAAAAGCCAACTGGTTCTCCATTCATCAAAACAGAAAATTTGACTGTAGTGATGCAAAAATTGATCCAGCCCAACCATTTTTCTCCAAATCCCATTTGTCTGAGTATACTCATCAAGAAATTCCAATTAACATGGTCATATGCCTTTTCAATGTCTAGCTTACACATGACACTAGGTTTATCTCTTTTCATTCTAGAGTTCACACACTCACTAGCAATGAGGGCAGCATCCATAATCTGCCTCCCTTTTATGAATGCCATTTGATGCTTGTTGACTAGCCTGTCCACCACTTTTTTCAGCCTTTCAGTCAATAGCTTTGCTATCACCTTGTATATGCCAGTGATCAGACTTATTGGTCTAAAATCCTTCAGCTCTGATGCCCCTGCTTTCTTAGGAATGAGAGCTACATAAGTTGCATTGAAACTTTTCTCAGTCCTTTCATTAACATGAAAGTCATGTAAAGTATTCTTAATATCCTCTTTGAGCAGATCCCAAAAAGCAAGATAAAAAGACATTGGGAAGCCATCCGGCCCAGGAGATTTTTCCATTGCACACAGCTTGATACTGTCCAGTATTTCTGTCTCTACACACTCTGTAAACATTCTTGTTCTTCTTCAGTTAAACATGTAGGGCTGTCAAGCAGCAATTCTGGTCTCCACACTTCAGATTCCTTGTAAAGATTCTGATAAAAGCTTTGTATGGTCTCCTTAATTTCTACTGAATCACTGATATTATTGTCACCGACTGTCAAGTTGTCAATGGAATTAAACCTTTTATGTGTTGTGGCTATTCTGTGGAAGTACTTCGTATTTTTATCCCAAAGAACCTGAAGGTCTTTTTCTCTTTCAAAATCAACAACTAGCAAAGACCTCTTGCACAATATATAGCTCGGATTTTAAATTGTTCACTTGCTTTAATTACTCATGCTATGGATAGGAGCCTAACCCTTTTCCTGTGGGTTTTTGAGCAAGTAGGAGAAAATTATTGGTACACTGTCAAATATTCTTGAGAGCCATGATGCAACCGGCTTCATATGACCAGGTGGACTGGCAAGATCTGCCTATCATCCACACAACAACTAATATGTCTATATAGCACACAGTAATTTGTTTCTTGTAGTGACAAATTAGAAATATGTCAGCTGACAATTGTATTTCTAAACAAGGATTACTGAATATTGGTATCTCGAAACAATGTTCATGACAAATTGAATCCTCACTTACAGACTACAGTAAATACCAAAAAGCATAAAACTGATGCCTAACAATTACGTTCTCCAAACGTGCCATTTGGTTGCTATTATTAAATAGTGATTACATGAATTTTGATACCTTAAGCAGAAACCCCTGCACCCTAAACGTAGTTTGACTATGAAGAGAAAAAAATGATGATTTGATTAGGCATACTGGCAAATAAAACATGTGAAAGAATACAAATCAGGTTACACAAAATAAAGATGCATAGCATAAGAGAATATCATTAAGTACAGTAGTACACACACAAAAAAAGTCAGATTCAATCCTTATCACAAGAAAGAACCCAATTGAAATAACTAGCCTGTACAGTGTTTGACGAACGTTAATGATAATCTGCACTCATTTTCGGTAAAGAAAGAAACTCAATCTGAAGTAGTTATAGAAGTAAGAGGAAATAGAAATAAACTGCATTCATTTTTTCGGCCTACACACATTCAGTTTCAACCCTAGGAAGAAGATGCAAGATTCCACATACAACAAACCATCAAACTTTAGGCATCCTTAAGAGGGTCTAAATGACCAGGAGATTTGATGGATTAGAGCATATAAATCCTTTTCAAAATTACAGTCAACAAATGAATAAAGCTAAAGAAATTCAACTTACAGTAGCAGAACCAGAGTGCATCGAAGTAAGTGGTGCATGACACTCCTCTTCGTGGTTGCTTTTCTGAACTCATCTGAACTTCTCCTGACATTGAAGATCAATTTCCGGCTGAAGCTGAATCACTGTTAGAAATTTTGATAGCTGTGTTTAGAGTATATGGATGATTGAGGTAAACTCCCCCCCCCCCCCCCAAACACACACGCACACACAAACCCCATAAACCATTTTAAACAGGATTGAACATAATTTAGTTGAGATTTGAAAGGAAAAAAAGAAAGAAATACTTGAAGTTAAGATAAAAAGGGATATTTACATGAGAACAAAATTCACGTTTTGTGAGTGGAAACTTGAAAAACTCCAATAATCACCCACTGTTCCCAGGAGAGAGAAGGAACATTAGATAGGAGCATTAGAAAACACACATAATGTTTAAGATCTAAATGATTAATATTCATATCTAATGTTCCTTCTCTCTCCAATAAAATTCATTTAGATCTTAAACATTATGTGTACTTTTTATTTTACAATCACTTAATAGGTCTAAATAGATCTGAATGATTAAGGTCTATAACAAAGTTATATGATATTAACTGCTGCTACATAAATCAGCATCTCCTGGGTTAGCATTGTAGTTTCCATCTGTCTAAAATCAGTTAAGATAGAAATTAAGAAAACTAAAACTAGAAGAAACCAATAAAAGGCATAAAGAACAATACTCCTCTCTATGTTCTGAAGAGAACCAAAAGGATAATAATTAAAGGAAATTTACTTCAAGATGGGCATTAGTGCAACCAATTTTAACTATTGTCATGAATAGACATCAGAGGCAATGAATCTGCTGAAAAGCAGAAACTAAGGAAATGATAATATTATGACAAAGAAATGATAACTATGCTAGCTTGTCTTTGATTTTAATCATCCTAAATTGAAAAGAAGAAACTACGAAAATGTTAATATTACGACAAGGACTACTACAAACAGTATACAATGAAGATACAATAGCATATTTTATTAAACATTAGTCACTATCTATTTCTTCTTTGAATTTTTCCTCATTCTCCTCGGTTCTTGAACCTCAAGTCAAATAAGGAGTGTAAACTATAAAACCAGAAAATGCAGTATGGTAAACCCATTGTCCAGCAACCAGGCCCTCAGACTGTTAGGCATGGGGTATCAGCGTAAATAATCCAAATGTTATCAATAGATGGGTGGAATCAACACGAAAAGCATATTTTATTTCCAATTCCCATGGTCTTAAATTCATCATCAATAAGTCAAGTTCGGCTCTGGAATGACTCTTCCTCTTTCTTTTGACCAAAGTAGTCAATCTTCCTATTTTTATTCTAGAAAAAATAAAAGTATTTCCCATTGATCTAAACATTAGAAAGGGGGAAACAAGTGAATGAGAACAAGCAGAGTAGAAGTAAGCAAGTGACAAACTGGATACATAAGCAGATAAATCTGTTCAATAAATACATATGAATAACATTCTTCTTTAAAAATGCTAAAAAAAATATGACGCACCAAATAAATAGAGGGAGTACTAAATTATTTCAATTTACCAAGGTTGTAGCATCTAAATGAACAAGATGCAACTTGACTTTGAAGTGTAGATGAACAAAGGAAAAGAAGGCAAAAAGTACAACACAAAAGAAGAAGGAATAGGCTTATCCACAATCCTATATTCTCTTCAAATCCTCCTAAGCTAAAGGCTAAGACCAATGGCATGATAGACAATAAACTAGATGAACATGGATAAAGCTAAATGACATAAAACCTTATTTTCGAAAAGCAACAACACCCACATGCACCACCTTCAAATTATTTACATTAACAAACAAGTAGATTCATAGCAACATCCCTCAAAGCTTGATGTTTTCCCCTATATACAGATTAGCTATAACCAGACAAACCAAAAAGGGAAAATCAAAATGACAAAGAACAAAAGGCAACTCTCCCTCCTCCTTTTGATTTTGAGCATCTGCCTCAGCACACAAATGCCCAGACCCACAGCCTCAACACACAAACGCCCAAATCCCAGTCATAATCAAACACCAATTATCCAATAAATGATGAAAATGATAAAAAAATTTAATAACATCAGCTGAAATCACAGCAAACAATAGCCAAAGCACACAAATAACCAAAAATCATGAAATACCCATTAGGGTAAACAAGCTCAAAACCTGACTTGAAAGGACAAGCTAAAATTTTGAAATCTGTTAAGGAAATCTTTGAAGAAGGTACACAGATGGCTAGCAATTGATAAGCTTCAAAGTAAAAATCTAGAAGAATGTAAAGAGACAACCAAAAATTAGTCAAAATTGAATTCACACAGGGAAGAAACAAACATTACAGAACAAAGAGAACTGTAAATTACCTGTAATGGAAAACCCTAAATAGCAAGATTCCACCGGCAAACAGTCGGAGAGTGGCAAGGGAAGCCACCGACGACCTTTTTGGGGGGTTGGATTTCTGCCTTGGAGCCACTGTCGATCGGCTATATTTTTCTATGAGTTTCAACAAAAAAAAACGATGAACTTAATTGTTTAAAATTCAGATATTAATATAACACCTTAATATTGTATTTAGATCAGCATATTTCTACGTACTTAATGAATGTCTTAATTTATATTTTCTAATTTCAGTTATTAAATTTAATTTTTCAGTCTAAATATTTATTATATAGCTCTTAATTATTAAGTATACTAGGTGATGTGTGCCCGTGCAAGGCACGGGTCCGTATCCTACATCATTATTTGTTTAGCTGTTAAAATTTCTCAAGATTTTCTTCAATAAAAATCACATAGAAAACAAAGTAACAAATCAAATGACCCATGCATATGAGTTGACATAATGCATCTAACTAAGAAGCAAACACAGACACTTTACAACATAACTAAGAGTTTGAGACACAGAGAAGTAAACGTATAAAATTAAATCTAAGTGTCTTATAACTTTACCATTTCCAGTTCATTTAGTACAAAATTGCTTCTAAAATATTTCTTTTTCTAGGCAAGCAGCAAGGTGTTTTCACTTGACAGGAAAGCATATCCCTCTTTAAATGGCATTCCTGGAGCAACACTTCATAACGTAACTCCAAACCAAAATTTTTGCAAAAAAGGGTTCTAGATTTGCATTTGACAGCATTCCGAATGTACTATCCAAGACCTCCACATTCCAAGATGTTCATACTGACTATCAATCTTCTAGAAAGATTTTAACCCAAGATCTTGAGGTCTTAGACCCTTCTTTGTATCAGCCATTTTCAGCACTTATGTTTCATGGCCAACTTTCTTCTGCAGTACATTGCTGATAATCGCCTGGAGAACAATCCGTGGCATGGCGAATTTGTTTTATCCTCCATACTTCAAACTCAGATTAAAGAGACAAGAGATGATTAATTGTCCATTCCTCTTGGCCAAATTCCAATTAAACTTAAGCTTATCCGAATAACCAAATCTCAGCCATCTTATACAAAACAACAACATTAAAAGATTGCACTGTTACCTAACTTAACACTTGTAAACCTCAATTATATAAAGGAATCAATCATCAGCCAGAGTCCTAAAGTAAAGATATATAAAAGCTACTAAACAAATAACCTGATGAAGGCGAATTGGCCAATAAAGTAAACTCAACAGCTCAAGTAAAGGCAAACTATCTACTTATGAGTAAATAGAAAAAATATGTAGAATAAACTTATATATTTAGTCAGTAAAAAGTCTATTCATACATGAATAAAAATGTATAATCTTCATAACATGATAGAAAACAAAAAAGTAAAAGGTATTGCACCAGTCTGAAACGAAGGAGAAATTTTCACAGGTAATTACTTGTGTGTAGTTTGAAAATTGATTGGCTTGGTCTTAAAATCTAATACATCTGAAAATTAAAACAAAACAATGGCAACAGATTCAACACACATTCAATTCGATCTCTAACATGTTTATTGATTATTATTTATAATTAGAGGACGTTGATTGAGCAAACATCAGGAAATATGGGGATCAGTATGGCATTTATGGCAGCAATGAAAGGCTACAAAATGATTTTGACAATGCCTTCGTACACGAGCATGGAGAGGAGAGCATTTGGAGCAGATTTAATCCTCACCGATCCAACAAAAGGGATGGAAGGCAATGTTAAGAAGGCTTATGAACTTTTGGAATCTACACCTAATGTTTTCATGCTTCAACAATTTTCCAACCATGTAAACACTCGGGTAATTTTAAGAAACTTAACTTAATTAATATATTCTCTGTTTTACTACATAATTCTCAATTGCTTCATATCGAAAACAGCTTCATTTTGACACAATTGGCCCTGAAATATGGGAAGAAACTCTAGGTAATGTTGACATATTTATCATAGGAATACTGGTGTTGGAAAGTATCTCAAATCTAAAAATCCTAATGTCAAGTTAAATATATACTTTAATGTAGTACTTTTGATTCCTCAAGACAGAATCAGTAAACATCCAAGATAATCCCATGTCAAGAAATTGAGAACAATCCTATGTCAAAAATAGTTAACGTTGTGCTTATATGGACTCGAGCCAACTGAAAACAATATATAGAATGGTGTAAAAGCAGGACCTCATCATATAACGGAAAATGGGGTCGGATTCAAGCCAGATATTCCTGACATGGATCTAATGGAGGAACACCTGCACTGGAAAAGAAGTGAAGGGTTTCCTCTCTAAATATAACCAAAGTTCCACAATCCCTTAGAAACGAAGTTGGTGATTATGATATAATAGAGCTAATAAGTTTAATTTCCTACATAAGAATCAAGGATTACCTCAACTAACAACCACATATCAAGTGTAATTCCACAAGTGGGGTCAGAGAGGGTGGTGCAACGATTATCTCAAGCAAAATGATATTTCTTCCTGGGAAAAACTTACGCTTGAGGAATCACCAAATACCAGAAGTTGACACATACCAACAGTTAGCCAAAGAATTTTTGCCTCAGATTTTCTCCAACACAGGACTACTTCTGTAATTAGTTTGTACCAAAAGATAATACTAAGAAAACACCATTAGGAGTATTTCCATCAGCGATTTTCTAAAGCAAAATACATCAGAAGAGTCACCAAACAATAATCATCCAAATCAGTAATTAGAGTATCAATTTATGTATA